CAACCAGGAAGTAGCAAAACCCTGGCTTCATTTTCTCAGTGCAGAAACCAACGGGTGACGTCACGGTAGCTACGTCCATCTTTTATACAGTCTATGAAAAAAACACAGGAGTAACTCCTACACTAAGGTGGGCAGCTCCTAGCTGGACTTTTAGGCTGTGTCTAAAATCACCCACTACACCCTACGTAGTGCACTATAGAGGGTGTTCACCATTTGGTAGTGCTGTGTGAATGTTAAGTTACAAATGTTACACCCTGCATCGTGTACTCAAAATATCCCTCAATACACCGTGAAAAGTAGTGTACAGCCGATGGTCACTAACCAAACAACATGGACCATCATGCATTGCATGAAAAGAAATGCGAACGAGACGAACAAGAGTGTGAAAACTTGTCATTAAAATGTGCATAATTTCCTGTTTATGTTTTGTTAAATCTTATTTTACCTGTTTCTTAGCTATGCAATAAACTGTGAATTTGAAGTATTTGCTCGAAGCTGCTGCTGCAGCACAAATCATGGCTAGCGAGCAACGTAACAGCTTGAGTAGTGTCCAAACTGTTACTTTGCAAAGGTGCTCCCTACATAGTTCACTATATAGTGGTCCCTAGATAGTGAGTAGGGAGAAGGGAGTGAGTGGATGATTTCGGACATGACCTTAGTCTTCACCAAGACTCGACTAATTCCCACACTAAGTTAGGTACGGAGCCCATCTGATGACATCGATAAGAAATAAAAATAACTCGTTCCCACGCATTAGTAAATCGTGGCCACGAGTTATTCATGCGTGGGAACGACATAGTTAAATTGTGGCCTCGCATTACAAATATGAAGAAACAAGACAAGCTGTGGAGCAAATTTCACAGTGCGGTCATATCAGCTGTTGATTAAGGATAACGGGCGTACTTGCATGAAACATGGAGCATTTTGATTTGATTTCATTTTATTTTAACCTTGGAATGAACACCACCGATATCCTGCCATCTCTTGCGATGAAACACCGTGTGATAATTATGTCCTTCCCACGCATTAATAACTCGTGGCCACGATTTACTAATGCGTGGGAACGAGTTATTTTTATTTCTTATCAATGTCACCAGACAGGCTCCGTAGTTAGGAGCTGCCGACAGAAGTTACAATTTAACAAACAAAACACAATGACACAAACACAAGAGGCACCAGGCCGAACTGTTCACGTTGAATCCCAGCTGCTCTGACTGTGAGGTTGGTTGTAGATTTATAATCCAGGTGTGCTGATTGCTGCAGTTTGACTGGCTGAGGGTAGAGGGAACNTGTATAATGTATGTATGTCACGATCCAGCTGGATGTAACAAAAAAACAGTTGTTGGTGGAGGTAAAGCAATTTATTGCTCAGTAATGTAATGAACACACAAAAAAAACTGTGATAATACAAATAAACCAGGCTTATGGGTGCTGCTAAATCAAAGAACCATAAAAACAAACAAAGACAGAGTTGCAAAAGCTTGTTCAACCGAAACAACAAAACTCCTTAGCCAAACTTAAATACAATAGCAACACCCATAACCAACAAATGAAACTAAAAAAACAAGTGCCTCAAAACACACATTACAAAAAAACCCAGGAGTAACTCCTACACTAAGTTGGGCAGCTGCTAACTGGACTTTTAGGCTGTGTCTAAAATCTCCCACTACACCCTACATAGTGCACTATAGAGGGTGTTCACCATTTGGTAGTGCTGTCTCAATGTGAAGTTACAAATGTTACACCCTGTATAGTGCACTCAAAATATCCCTCAATGCACCGTGAAAAGTCGTGTACAGCCGATGGTCACTAACCAAACAATATGGACCATCATGCTTTGCATGAAAAGAAATGCGAACGAGACGAACAAGAGCGTGAAAACTTGTCATTAAAATGTGCATAATTACCCTGCGATAGCACAAATCATGGCTAGCGAGCAACGTAACAGCTTGAGTAGTGTCCAAAATGTTACTTTGCCAAGGTGCTCCCTACATAGTTCACTACATCGTTCACTATATAGTGGTCCCTAGATAGTGAGTAGAGAGAAGGGAGTGAGCGGATGATTTCGGACACGACCTTAGTCTTCACCAAGACTCTACTAACTCCCACACTAAGTTAGGAGCTGCCAACAAAAGTTACAATTTAACAAACAAAACACAAAGACACAAACACAAGAAGAACCAGGCCGAACTGTTCACATTGAATCCCAGCTGCTCTGACTGTGAGGTTGGTTGTAGATTTATAATCCAGGTGTGCTGATTGCTGCAGTTTGACTGGCTGAGGGTAGAGGGAACTGGGTGGTGGTCCAATCAGGAATGGAAGGCGGGGAGAACAAGGGCTGGCTCTCCAGGTTAATTAGCTGCAATGGCTGGCAGCTGAGGTTGAAGCAGGCTCTCCAGCCAGCTACCACAGTATCATGCTGCTCCTCTCCCTATACAGAGCCCACAAGGGATCCACCAACACAGGATGACACAAACACTGTATCATATTCCATAATAACATATTTGTTTTTGAGAAAACAGCCAGTTTTGCAGTGCAGTGTTGTATATAGTAGACCAGGATCTTTCCTTAATCGGCATACAAGAAATCCACAGTAACTTCAGACGCAGCATTTTCATACATTTCCCTAACCTTAACCTTAAATGCTTATGCTATCATCCAGAGTCCGGTCTGTGAACTCTGGTTTCTAGCTCATCAATGTGGCACTTCATTAAAAAAAAGTGGCCTGTGAATGTGATCCCACCATTGTTTACCCTGCAACTAAACATAATTGAAATGTCAGTTACAGTCAGTCATTTATATCCCCGATGAGTCAGGGTTAAAAGATTTTTAAAAAAAAGAAAAGAAAAAAAGCGCACCACAATGTATGAGCATCGTTTGTAGAAGTTCTGGTTGTAATGCTCACTGCAGGAGGAATTTTTAAAAGTCTGGTGATCATTTTTCTTATGCAGTACTTTTATGAACAAATACATTAAAACGAATGCTCCCACAGCTCTGCTTTGGGTTTAGAATTAGTTCATGAGTGCTTGTATGTTGCAATGCTTAACTAGCAGAGTAAGCAAGCTAATGTTCGCATTTACTGTAGCTCAGTCCAGCCGTGTCTGTGGCATTAAAGTGGTTGTGGCTAATGATGTTGCATTACATCAAAGCCTGTTGTACTTAGCGTATCAGTGTGCCACTTCCTCCCTTTTATATTACGGCCCTCACATCCTGACAGTTATGACATAGATTCAGACCACAAAGCAAACTGACAAACAGCCTTTAATGCACAACTTACGTGGACCTCCTCCTACGAATAAATATATGAGTTTATTGTGATTCACTTAACAGTCAAATGGGTAACTTTGCCTGCAGTCATTTACAATTTAAAAGTAGTTTGTCATCTTAAGGTATTTACAGAAACAGGCCACAGTTGTTCTCTGACTGTGACATACAATTGGCCCTCACGTGGTTCACTAAATATAGAAATCCTGCAGCACCTGTTGCCTCTGCTGCTGGATCGAGGGCAAGGACCATTTGTTTTTAGACATTTAATGGACATAATTGCTTTAGCAGTCTGAGTTACTTCTGCTGTCAGGAATGCTGGCATAAATTAAGATAAAGATACGTACAGTTTTGAAGCCCTTGTGCTTTATGTTTGTAACGCAGCTCAGAGGAAAACAGTAAATAAATGCATTTATTTGACAGCTGTGGTTGCTTTTTAGGTTCACTTTTTACATTAAAGAGGGCAAGATTTCACAAATATGTCATTGAAGATTAAAATGTGATGTCTTACAAAAGACAACGTTGTGGAGCTGTTTGTCAGACGTATCTATGATGTTGGTATGGGCAGTTTCACCAAAGAGACAGTTCCCCTCCGAACATCTGTCATGGATTCATTTAAAACATTTTGCTGTGTGTGAAAAGGTCAAATAATCTTTAAGTCTTTAAGATTACAATAATCTGTTAGTATAACTGTGTTCTTACTTCTTTTCTCCCTTTTTAATCACTTTATGACCTGTCAGATGTATTTGGTGACTTTTTGTCAGCTGAAGTTGCAAATTTGCTAAACAGCCTAACTGCATATAAAGTAGTCAAAACTGGCTCCACCAGCTACAACAGTAAAATGCTACTACTTGGATTTATTTATTTATTGCATTCAGTCCAGTGCTCCTTCCCCTCCTGGCTGTTAATCCTGTATATTAAATATTAAAACACATGGTGTGGAGCTGTTCCGAGTATCTAGCTGACTGCCATCAATCTTGGCCTGATGATTGACTTCTAGTGTACTGGTCCGTCCTGATGGGAGCAGTCAGAATAGCCTGTGATCTCTCTGGGGGCCTGGCTGATGGATGATGTAGTGTCCATACTGTTTGAGCAGCCTACGCGCACACTGCTGAGCACCGAGCGCTGCCGCCCGGCGCACAGCCACTCTGCACCCCGGACTGCTACGCCATGAAGATGCCGGTGAAGAAAGCAATAAGTGCTAAAAACGAGTCCAGAAAATGCGCAGCGCGGTTCTGGAAACTTTTTCCTCACCTTTTCCTGTGCCTGTCCCTGGTCGGATACGCAGCGCTGGGTGCGCTCATCTTCGAGTACATTGAAGGAAGGAGCGCGTCCAGCACGCAGCCGGAGTACCGCAGCTTTCTGGGTCAGATCGTCCACACCGTCCAGAACCAGTCCAGTAAGTCGCCACAAACATTGCTAGGGATGCTTTATTATATCGCAGTGGGACTTTAATACCAAGTGTATGGACAGTTAGGAACTTTCTGCTATTTGAACCACCCCAAACTAATCCATGTGGTATCTGATAGTCCACCTCATGGGTCTGGAATGTTTCGATGGGGGTCCCCAGGTTAAAGGTTTGCTGCAGGAGAGGAGCCTCTTAGTTTAACGTAAACAGCACCCATATAAGCCAGTGGTTCAGGTTATTCTAAAAGGTGATTCTTTTTGGCTTCGAATCCTCTCACAGCCGTCTGAGCTACTGTACTTGTTTCAATCAGCCTTTTTATAAACCAACAAGAGGGAATCAGCGGAGAATTTCTTCATCACCTTCACATCTTCACATTTGCAATAAGACTGTTCAACATCAGCATCACTGGCTGATGTTAACCAAACATTAACACATGGTTATAATTCATTTTGCACAGCAAATTTGCTCAAGTCTGTTTGTTTTTCAGTGTAAATATTGTCTGTCATCTTGTGTATATACTGATTTTATGACCTCCATCCATTATCTATACACCACTTAATCCACACTAGGGTCATGGGGGGGCTGGAGTCTATCCCAGCTGACTTAGGGCGAAGGCAGGGGACACCCTGGACAGGTCGCCAGTCTATCACAGGGCTACACTTAGAGACAGACAACCAAGCACACTCACATTCACACCTACAGACAATTTACAATCACCAATTAACCTCAACATGTTTTTGGATGGATGTTTTTGGACCGGAGAATTTTGATTTTATGACTTAATTATTGTTATTTCCAAGTACTTTCTGTTTTATATTTTTTGGATGCTGCTGTGGCATGTGAATTTCCCTCAATGGGGGATCAATAAAAAGTATTCTATTCTATTCTATCATCACTACTCAATAAACAACTCCCATTTACCAACCAAGATAAAATCCTTATTATTGGTGAATTTTTCAACATTTTTTTTGTTCACTCTCTGTTCACTCAGTTCATACAGTATTTTCTTTTATTCTCAGGTAACGGCTCCTGCACACATGAGTGTATAGTGGACAAAGTGTACACTATGATGTACAACGACTTTAAGCCCATATGGTTCCAGAGACCTGACAGATGGAGTTTTTTTGGCTCCATGTTCTTCTGCTGCACAGTCTTCACAACGGTTGGTAAGTCACACGGTGTCGAATAAACCATCCCTGGTCAGTATCACTAAAATGCTAACTGATCCTGACAAATCCTGTCCTTTCAATACGATTGTATTAGTTTTTAGCCAAAACCCCAGAAGAATAGAGGAAGAAGAAGACAATATTCTTGTAACTGATGGTTTGACCTAAACTCCATATTTAGGAACTGTAACAAAAACAACCTTTAGTGTCTATTCTGTTATTTGCATATGTCCGCCTTTATCTTTGATGACTGACTGGATGCTCCTGAGCATGGGTAGTTCCAATCTGGCACAAACTGTGGGGAAATGTTCATCATTCTTCAAACACAACTCTTGTAAGCTGCACCTTTCTGGAAGGGTTTCTTTTTGTACGCTGTACTTTAAAAACTTCAAAGATGTTCAGTTGGATTCAAATCAGGGGACACACTTGGCAAGGTCACTTTTTTTTTCTTCTTCTTCGAAAACGCTTGTTTGATTTTTGCAGTGAGTTTGGGATCATTTGAATTTTAAAACTTCCTCTTCTACCAAGATTCCTTGAGACATTTTTCCTCATTATTCAAAAATGTCCTCTGCATCTTCTGTTATTATAGCACAGCTCATCCTGACCCTCCTAAACATTGCTGTGGTTGTGCTGTGGTGTTGCTTATGATCAGTAACCTCTTTTATCCGGACACTTTCATGATTCTTATGGTTTGGTTTCTTACTTGTAGATACAACAAATGCCAAATTTAAGAAAGCTGTGGTGTTTGCAGGTCTTTTTACAACTTTATCCTTGAATTTAATCTTTTTTTTAGCATGTATTTAGCCTGATTAAACATATCTCTTTACTAGTCAAGTGGCGTACGTCTCTAAAATTTGATATGTGACACTCAAGCAGACATATAACCCTCTGTAGGATAAAGTGGTGTTTGGCCGGACGTAGCTTTCTGGTTCGACACATGCCACTGAGCACCATCTGGCAGGATCAGTGAAGCTATCATAAACATACCTACTGGAGCTTTACAATTTCCTTTAGCTCATTGTTTTGGTTTCATGACCTGCAAGTTGACTGCTATGCAATCTGACAAATATGGCTGTATGCATATTAGAGTTTTTTCTTTTTGGTTCTTTTCCATCATTGCTGACTGATTGCTAATAGGGAATCCAAAGACAACTTTGAATTGTTAGGTCTTCACCTTACTACGTTAGGCAAGATGACTTATGTTGTGAATTGTGCTATATAAATAAATTTGAATTGAATTAAATTGAACTGAATATCTGCCAAACTTTGTGGGACTGCCGTGGTTCAGAATGACAACAAAGCTGGCTCCGGCTGTTTTGTGATGGATCTAAATTTCAAGTCCATCAGAAGAAAAAAGTGGAAAAAGATGTTGCATACATTTGACTTGCACTGTGTTTTTTCCACAAGATATTATCACACACTGTTAAGTAAAGCAACAGAAGGCCAGTTTCAGTTTTGGGGTCAGTCCCTGCATACCCCAGTCACTATATCTAACCTGCTGCAGATATCAGGCTGATGTCGAGATGCATAATCAGAGGAAGCACAAGAATTATTGAGCCAAGTTTCAATGTTTTCTTTGTTTTTGCTTAAACTGATTGCACTGAGGCTACTTTTTTTTTTTTTTTAAACAAAGGAAACATATTTTGCTTTGTTCACATTTTTTGAACTGCATATGTGTTTTTTTCATAGACAGATGTTTTCATTCATTTTCTACATTGTAGAAAGTAGAAAAACTAAAAAAAAGTCCTTGACAGAGTCGCTGTGTCCAAACGATTGAGTGGTACTGTATATGGATTTATCTCTCTGTTATGTGGATCCTTATGATGTCTTCAATTGATTCCTTTGGTATGAACAGTTTAAGGCTGTAAAGCATAACCTGTATTTCTTAAAATTCCATTTATCTGTGGTAGAGATAAATGCATAGCGGCATTTGGCAGTGTGTCAGAGAGCTCTTCAGGGTTGTGTTCTGGACATACAGATTTGAATTGGTAGCATGAATGTCATTCATGAATATATTTTATTTGTTGGTCTTTTGGAAAACATGCATGCACATTATGAAGTGAGCTGACTTGTGTGTGTGACACCTCCAGATGATGACAGTGATGAGATGACCAACCTGCACTCAAATATGCAGCGCAGAAAGGCATTTAAAAACAAGCTTGTCATACTGCGGAAGGGTTTTTAAAGTTTTTTTTTTCTTGTGGTCTGTGACTTGTGGTTTGAGGCACTTCGGTGCTAATGGCTGTGTGCTCAGCTCCTGGTATTGATATTGCCATTCAGTTAAAGTGTGTGCTAGATATTACTAACCATTGTGACGTTGTAACTATAGCACTTCGTACTCTATTACATTTAGCTGACAGCTTTAGTTACTTTTAAAATCAAGATTTTACAAATGGATATAATTATAAGCATTTAAAATACAACACAGTACTAAAGAGTAGATCAGTGATTTCCCACCCTTTTGGCTTCTTCCCAAAAGCAGTCTGGTTCATATTTCAGATGTTTATGAGTTAACAGCTTCACCAAAAAGGGATTTTTCCCTGCAAACTTCTTACATTTTAATTTCAGTAAATGTCTAAATCATCCAATGTCTCTGCAAAAGTCAAATATTAGAGAAAAAGTCAAAAACTGAAAACAGATTTGTGTCCAGGACTTCCTTCGTCTCTCGTTAATCATGTGACGAGCCCCCAGATTTACTTCCTGTGTACATAACGGAATATAAAGTAGCTGAAAGGTTCCAGATTCAAGGAGTCTTCATTTTCCCCGTGGGGCAATTGGCTATGCAGCCAGCAGTAAAACTATCAATCCGTGCAACAATCGCACAGAAACAACAATAAATAGCAAAGAGACAATGATAAATTAAAAAAAAAACAACAACAGAAAGTTGATCTACTTGTTTAGCAGAGCAATGGCAGCAGGGAAAAAAGAATACTTGCATCTGCTAGTTCTGCATTTTAGTAGGATGGTCCTGCACCCTGACGGAAGCAGCAGGAACTCATGAGCCAAGGGGTGGTTCTGATCCATAAGGATTGAACGGGCCTTACTTCAAGTTCTAATTTGATACAGGGCTGAGAGGTGGTTCAGGTTAATCCTTGCAATTTTGCTGCACAGTCTTTCGATACCCTGCAGTCTGTTTTTATTTTTGAGGAAAAGGGAGACGTACCAACAAATATAAGAGCAAGTTAAGATGGATTCAATAAAACAAGAGTAAAATATTTGCATAAAAGTACTTTAACATTAAAACTACGAAGCTTCCAATAAAAATACACGCGCTGGTGAGCCTTCTTGCACACAGCATCAACATAGAGATCAAAGGACAGCTTGTCATCCAGGTGAGTGCCAAGGTATTGGTAGTTGTTCACCAGCTCCACTGCTATATCTGGAGGGAACTCACCTGCAGCAGCTACAACAGCAACATGCTGCTAATACACAGATATTTTCCTATCAGTAACAGGGCTCCAGACCGCAACCAAAGTGTTCGCATTTTGACCTTTTTTTGAGTTAAAATTTCAAGTGGTCGTATTTGTGCGAGTGCATGATGATCATGAAGCTGTATTAGTGTCACTGTAACCGGCACAGGAAGCTTCTGTGTTAACCACAGTGGTTTAAAGTAGAACTCTTATAACGTCGGTGTACTGTGCTATTTACACTTAAAAATGAGGTCTTCTTGTGAAAAACGGAGCTCACTTGCATTTGCTGTTTTTCCCGCTCATAGAAAAGGGCACATGTAAAAAAAAATATAAAATAAATAAATCACTTGGTTTCATTTTGGACAAGTCTGACATTAGAACGCCCTAGTTTACTGTTTTTGAAGTCATTTTTGGTTGCACACCTGTCCGAGCACACCACAGGTACCAACAGCAGCAACCGCAGCCTGCAATGTGAGGCGTTAAGGGAACATCGGTAAATTGTAGACTCTATTGATAAGAAAATGTTCAGCAAGTCATCTGTTTTGCCTGTGACAAGGTGGGAGCTGCAACCAAATGAGAAAGCTGGTCGCACCAGTGATACCAGTGAAAAAGTTAGTCTGGAGTCCTGCCGTAACCTAATCATGTCATATATGATAATTTATCAGTCAGAGGAACCAAACCAGAACTTTTAATGCCATACGGTAATGATATTTTGCTGCTGAAACCTATGCACTTTCACTAAAGCAGTATTTTGAATGCATGGTTTTTCCTTTTAATCATTTTTACGTTAATCTATTGGTACTTTTACTTAAGTATTTGTAAGCAGTAAGGATCTAAATAATCACACACTACAGTACAGTTTGTTTAATGTGAAAGTTGTTACTTACACTGATGAAATTTCAGACAATCATAACCAGCTATGCTCTCAGCTCCACAAGAGTTTTGCCACCTTTCAGCTCAGTGATTTGGTTTGATGACCTGCTGCCTTGTTATCAGCAGCAGCAGGCGACAGTGAAAAAGCTCTGAGAAAGCCAGTCTGCACTACCTACCCAGCATTAAACTACACACAGATACAGTTACAGACTACCTGATGAACACAGAGGAGCATGTAGAGACTGAAGAGCCAGGCATCCTTCTAAGGAGTTGCAAAAAAAACAGCAATTAAAAGACTGATTAGTGGAATTATGGTCATTATGTAGCCAGACACATGAGTCCAAATAAGTGCTGAGGCTACTGTATGTCCAAGTGTTTGTTAAATTTCAAATGGAAAATATGTCAGCATTGTGTATACAAGCTGTTACTGTGGCCCCGAGGCGCCAGAATTTATTAGTGCATGTTTAAACTCAGAACTGACCATCTTTACCTGATTTGAGTGCAGTAATATTTTTATTATGTGTCAACAGAAAATTGGCCGTCACTTGTCCAAAAGCAGCAGCGGCCTCAGCGGTCTGTTTGCATCTACACAGGATAAATTCAGCTGTCTGGAATACCGGAGGACTGACAGGGCTGTGGCCTCTACATGTTAGTCCCAGTGTGACCAAGGCCCATTCACAGCTTATTTTGTTGGTACAGTTCGGAAGGTCTCATCTATTGCACTTTCTAAAATTAGTCAAAAGCCCAATGCATTTATGCGCCAACTGTAATCAGGCCAGGCATCTCGGAGCTGATCCAAGAACCCATAACAGCTTGTGTAGACAATGATAAACATTTCACAAATCGTCTGGCCATCCTAAATGGCCTCAAACTGTGTTTACCTTCACAGCACTCAGATAAACCGCTGTCTGTTCTTCCCCTTGATCCGTCTGAATACATGTAAATATTTCTGAAAATGAATGTCAGTGTGTGTGTGTGTGTGTGTGTGTGCTGTCAGCTGACCATGAAACCGCAGTAATCAGCAGGAGCAGCAGGCTGCTTCCATGTTGCTCTACCTCTGACCTCCATCAGAGCTAACAGGGCCGATGGAGGTCAAAAGAAATATCAGAATGTCCTAAATGAGAAAAAAAAATCTATTCAGTTTGTTAAACACATGCATATCTTCATCGATTCAACCTTAGTTGAGCTTTTTCTTTTAGATTTACCTTCCAATACATATTTTTCTAAAATTTATATTGCATCTCTGGAAAATTGGTTTCCTGATGTGAAAGTTTAAATGCTCGTTTAGTTTTGTTTGTCTAAAGGAAGTAAAATTAGAATTCTGCATTTTTTTACTTTGTTGCTTGTTAGTAATCCATTTGTGGTATATTTCTACTTACATTTTTATGTTTTTTTGGTTAAACCATTCACTCCTATCTTGAGCGTGTTTGTTTGGAGACCTGATTGAATGTGTGAGAACCTTGTGAAGATACATCATTATGTCTGTTGCTTTCAGTGCATGATCAGTGGTAAAGAGATTCCAGCTAATGGCTAATGGCTTAGCCCCAACAGGAAGCACATATCTCTTAGAAGAGGAGGCACTTTTGAAGGAGATTGCCTTGTACATAATTGCAAAAAGCTTATTAGAGGTTGTTAGAGGCACATTGTCTTTTGTGTTGCCTTGTTAGTTGGGAACGCAATTCATCTGTTTACAGTCTCCATATTGACAGTTTAGGCCAGGGCATGTACAGTAGAGCCTCATAAATATCCACTCTGTCAGGTTTTAAAGGAGAGAATGATGGTTAAAGAAAGTTAAAAAGCTACAATGGAGGTGTCATTGAGAATTTTACTTGGAACCATTGCTTTGACTGCATATTGTTTATTAAAAAAACAGCATTTCTTTCATTGCCTTCTGACATACTTGTAAACTTCTGGTAATTTCTAAGAATCTATAGAAAAAGGAAGTTCAGCAGTGGATAAGCATGACTAAGCTGTTGGGGAACAGCTTTATTTGGAGGTAAAGTGAAAGTGAGCATTTTAATAACTATCCTTCAATGAGTGCATTTACTGGACACCTACAAATTGAAGGACTGATGTTGTAATTGATATGATATTATTACGACAATGTATGTGATGAAGGGGAACTGCAGATTTAGTTGATGTTTTTATCATGACATTACATATTTTTGTAATGAGTTTCTGCTCACTGTTCAGCTTTCCAGCTCCAACATTCCTGTTCTGTTCCACCATCACTGCTCTTTTAGAATTGTTTTCATCTGCAGCACACAGCCTGCTCAGTCCCAAACAGCAGACAGACGTATTCAGAAACTAGCTGCTGTGTAGCAGCAGACAGATGTTTTTTGGTGGAGTTAAAAGAGAGATAAAAGCCTGTTTACAGTTTACATACATCAGAAACATCTCTCCAAGTGAATGACAGTATTGCTCTGTAACTGTAGGCAGATCTTCTGTAAGCTTAAAAGATGATTGTACATCAGTGTTCTCAACTTTTCGTCCAAAAAAAAGTTTTCACGCTTAATTGGGATTCTAAACATTCTGTTTTAGCAGAATGGTACTTAATGCCAAACCTTACATGCAACTCTTTCATAACCATTAAAAGCAAAATCAATAATATATTTACAAATCTGTGACAAAAACCTTTATGTGGGTGGTGCAATTACAACTACAGCACTTTATCCTCTGTATGAATTAGAGCTAAGCAGATCCTACTCCTGATTCACAGCCCTGAAGTGTCTGTTTTCCCCTTGTTTGTTGCAGGGTATGGGGAGATCTATCCGGTTACCCTGCCTGGTAAGGTGGCATGTGTCTTGTACGCCATGGTGGGCATCCCTCTCATGCTCCTGGTCATTCTTGATGTGGGAGACTTCCTCGCTCTAGTGATGTCCAGAGCCTACATTCACATTCACACCTTCTTCAAAAACCTTCGCTCCCGAACCTGGTCACCCTGGAAGGATCGAAAGAGGGAAGCGGACTCGAGCCGCTGGGCCCTGGATGACGGCACCTTTGTGTTCAGTCACGATGTAGTGATCCATGAACCCCTTGACATTCGGCAGGTGATGCACAGTCAGGCGGATGTGCGGCACAAGTCCGTCCAGCTCCAAAACAACAAGGAGATCTTTGAGAAGATTCTTGTCAGAGAGAAATTACTGAGAAACGGTCCGCTGCTCAGGACCATCTCCTGCCCAGAGCTAGACCAGCTGCCACCACCACCACCTGGAGGAAAGGCCATATGGGACTTCACAGGGTTAGGGGATGGAATGGAAACGCTGGATGTACCCTTTGTTCTGATCCTTTTCGTCGTGTTTGCCTACATTTGCTTTGGTGGATTGATTCTGCCGCTGTGGGAAGACACATTTACGGACTTTGACCCCTACTACTTCTGCTTCATCACGCTCACCACCATCGGTTTTGGCGACATTGTGCCCAATCACCCCAAGTACTTCATGCTCACCTCACTTTTCATCATTGTTGGCATGGCCATCATGTCCATGGCTTTCAAGCTGAGCCAAACTCGAATCGTAAGCTGTTACCGCCAGTGCATCAAGATAATCAGCAGGGGAAATGCGGAGACTTTTAAAAGTGACAAGAACAACTAAGTCATAAAACCGATTATCCAGTCCAGGAGTTATTCAAGTCCACAGTCCTTGTTTTGAAACAGGCCACAACAGGAGCCTGTGGGAGCTTGTGCAGAGTGCTCCTTGTGCTGCCTGGTTGGTTAGAAGCATGAGCAAAATAAAAAGTGTGCATGTGCCAAACGCTTCTGTCCATAGAGGGAAGATGATGCTCAAAAAGATTTCTATCAAGAGGAAATTCAGATTCTGCATATCTAGATACAGTATCTTGCCAAAGACAAACATTTAGCTGTACTTTAATACTACGTGGTACTGTAGTATTTTATAGCCTAAAAGCACTGCAGAGGGACACAATAGTGTAGCATCTGACTATGAATCAGACCTCTGGATTTTTCACTCCCTGTATGAAAAATTGAATAAAATGTCTTAAATTCAGTTTTGTTTATTTTTTTTAAAGTGCATTTTACAACATGATTTTATTGACACCCATGTGCTCAGTAAGTTTTACAAATTCAATACTAATATAGAAAAGTAAAGATTTGGAACATGCTGTCATTGGAATTCGTAGACAACAAATTAGTTTTAGTTTGCACTTTTAGGTTAAGTTTTTGCATAACAGAAGTCCCATCTGTCTGAAGTAAAACAATGAAATCCATTCTCAGTGATGCAGTGGAAACAAAAAACATAAATGCTACAGTTTGACTTAAAAAAAAAAATATGATTACTTTTTGCAGAAAGCTATGTAAATTCTTGCATTAACAAATGACAGTTTACAATCTGCCTGACTGTAGATTTGGGGTTCATATGTCTGTAATTTAGGAACAGGATTGCCTATTATGCAACTAGGGGTTTGTACGTTCATCTAGTCAGCAGGAGCTCTGATTGTAAGGACACTGGCAAACACAAGGAGACGTTCCTCCGCTCACGAGTCGAGCCTCCTGCAGATCAGATCACTGCAGACCATGAGATTCACAGCAATCACATTTTGTTTGTGTTTTTAAAAAATCGAAATGTCCACAACTAACTTTATTTTTAGTTGAATGCATTTGCCTTGTGCTTTGTGACTGTAAGTAAAATCGACAGCTTCCCATTCTGAACATTTCTTATAACAAGGAAAGGATTTGCATTTTGATCTCAAAAAGGTTTTGATTGGGTCAGAAACCAGAGATCCATAAATGTCTGTAACTGGTGGCTTCCATGTGAGACCTCTGGTATGGTCCTAGGGCCTGACAGCACACGTGTTCGGAGGTAAGTGACCTAAGCCACAGATGTCTTTACGTACAGTTATGGTGTCAGTATCTGTCTACTTTTGTTATTATTTTTTGTTGGTTGACAATTAAAGAATGTTTCTGACCAAAAGATTGCCTGAATCCATTTCTGTATATAAAATCCACCTGAGGACAGAAGAAATCCTGGTCAACTGGGAGAGTTCAGGTTATATTTAAAATGTTGAACAAATTCTCGTCAACTTTTCATTGTGATTATATTTGCTGTTGTCTCCTCATGGCTGTGTTTTCATGACAAAAATGGTCGAAAGCAGTAGAGATAACAGAAGAGCGATTGGGACTGATCTTCTACCAATATATAGAATCAGATTTATGTCAATAAATTCAACCAGAATGTAAGTATCAAACACTTGAAGATTCATTAGAAAGAAAAAAGAAAAAAATGAACAAAAAAAAGACTTCCTAAGAAGAATTTGAACTTGCAGACAGATTGTGTAATTGTCAATTATTTGTAACAACAGACATTTTGACTTTTCACAATAAGTATGCGTACTCATAATGGCTGAGCTCCAGTAAGTGTCCCAGTGAGCGATGACAGTCAACCAGCATGCACAAAGGCAGGACCTGCCCTCAGTGCACTGCATCCATGACTGATACACCTGTGACAACTCAAGATGTCCTCTTCATTGTGCAGATTGCACATCTTCAATTCCTTTTTTTTCTTCTTTCCTCATGTTCTAACCCTGTCACCGAAGAAACAAAAGAGGCAAGATAAAACTAGGAGACAGGAGTCAAGGCCATACACATCCTTATCTCCAAGTTGTTATTATACAGTGGTGACAATTAAACAGAAGTAGGAAAGCTGCATCATCTGTCCATTATTTAGTATTTTTTATGATTGCCGTCAGACGAGCAAAACAGTGTAGATGACAACTTATGATCTACTTATAATTCTGTTGACAATGTAACTTGTCCTACACACACACACACACACACACACACACACACACACACATACAAAAGGAACACTTGCATTTGTAAAGTTCTGTTCCCTCCATACTGTGGTGTGCTGTGGGGTTTGTCACAGATTCTACTTTACTAGAAGCAGCCTTTTTTGCATTTGCATTAAGTTACTGTACGTAGACATCAACTTCTTATGACCAACATGTCAACAGTCACTTGCCTGCTCACTTGTTTGACTTTCAGGATGCTTCAGAAGTAAATCCTCTTTAGATATTTGTTGCCTTGCCATAATCTATGAATGGTTGTGTTTCAAAGGTCAATAACACTTTTATTTTCCTTTTTACTTCCTTTTTGTTCCACTATTTCATTTTACTATTTTATTTTCATGACATCAAATATGTGGTGAATGAAAAACTGAATAGCAATACAGACACCCTGAAAATACCTCTTTCCCTTTAGAACAGTTCCCTTTCTAAACCTGACATCTCCACTCACCAAAATTGTGCCACACAAATTCAGATTAGCATGGTACATGTTCTGCACTTACATAGCGCCTTTCTACCTTACTGGTACTCAAAGTGCTATACAATGTGCTTCTCACTCAGCCAATAACATATTCACACACCAATGGCGACAGAGCTGCCATTCAAGGCGCTGCCTGCCATCTGGGGCAACTTCGGATTCAGTGTCTTGCCCAAGGACCCTTAGACATTTGGGGAGATTGTACGGTGGCCGACGGGGGCAAATGATGTGCATATACACAAATGCGCTTCAAAAAAGGAAACGCTGCATACTCAGTCACATAAAGGAAGTGCCACATGCCTCTAGGGGCAAGTCTTTAACTTTTCAGTCACTGTGATTATATGGGTGCTGAAGTGGTGTTTTGCTACCGTCTCCCTGTGTTCTCTCTGCTATTTATGTTTATCCATGCAGACAAGAGAATTCATACGTTTTCATACAACTTTTCCGTCAACTATCGTTACTTGTCTCGCTCACCGTTGTCTGCCTCTCAGGTGAAAAGCTCACTACTGCCCCCAGAGGCCTGTGGCACTTCCACTGTGTGACTGGATATGCAGCGTTTTGTTTTTGCAGCACGTTTCAGTTTGTGCAACGCATTCATGTACATGCAGCTTGTTTGTGTGTATACACGTCATTTGTCCCCGTCGGCCACCGTAGAGGATTGAACTGCCAACCTTGTGATTAGAGGACAATCCATAGACTGTATAAAAGATGGACGTAGCAACCGGCCCTGAAAAATGAAGCCAACCCGGAAGTGTCAAAAACCTACAATATCACTACATCCGCTAGCTGCTGGCTCCAAAAAGTCCTGGCTCCCATAGACTTGAATTGGAAAAGAAGTGATCACAGATCACGAAATACCACATTCCTACAGCTCAGGATTTTTTTCTTATTAGTCTTCATAGTCAAATCCAGAGATCAGGTGGCCAATCTGAAAATAAATCAATACTGAATTTTTAAAAAATCGTCCAAATTTTGCGGGGAAAGGGTAGTGGCTGGCTTGATTGACAGTTGGCAGCAACGATTCAGACGAAGCGAGCAGAAGGTGGTAAATGTGGGCGGGCAGAGAGGTCCTGCCTCTCAATCCGTCTGACCAATCGCTGCTCCTATGGTTCTGCCCCCCTCTGACGATTTTTGCGTCACTGGCTCCAAAAATCCAAGATGTCAACCAGGAAGTAGCAAAACCCTGGCTTCATGTTCTCAGTGCACAAACCAACGGATGCCAGTAGCTCCACTTTTTTAGGGCATCAATTAAAAAACAGATGTACAAGACATACTTCTAATTTCAACGTATCAATATGCAGTATATGCAAAAGAATCTTATAAAAGATAGAAAGAGAAAAATTCGTGCTTCATATACTTAAATTACTGATGAAATCAGTTGAACTTTACAACATATATAACTCTTGACCCATATGCACAATATTGTTTTTCTGTCATTGATTTCTTTTTTAGTGGTTAACATTTTAAATTGATGAATGAATAACTCATATGTTGGAGAGGATTAGTGTCACCAGATTAGTGTCATAGAATAACTGGATACATTTTCTAGTAAACCTGAATTGGTATTCTAAATGTTAACATAGTAACAGCTGTATTACACTTCCAGAGCTCTGCTATGGTGCATCACTGACGTTGCCAAAATTGCCTCAATGGGAAACAACCTTGCTGAATTGCATTGGTTTGATGTGCATTTCTTGATGTGTTATGCAATTTTCACATTTTCTGCAGAACTTTGTTTGTTTTTTACTTATGACAGAGTCAGAGAGTTTTTGTTAGACCAGGTCATTTGGGCAGCAGGTCTACCTTTGTTTTCTCCACCTTCTGTCTGAAATCCATTCCCTAGCCAATCACCACTGGTTATGTTACATAGTTCCTACTGCTGCTGGGCTGATGTGTTTCTCCCTTTTTAGCAGAAAAAGACAGATGAACCAAGAAAGAGACCAAGCTGATTTTGATTTTCACTGTTAATTACTTTATCTAATTATAACAGGTCGTTGCAGTTGTATAATATGTACAGCAGTAGATGTAAAGTGTGCTCTTAGCTGATGCAATACAATCTAAAGTTTGGATTTGTCTAAAGATTTTTTTATGTTACCAATACTTACTGATCAAGCATCAGTGTCTGTTGTCTATCAGTAAATTGCCTTAAGTTACCATGTAATTATAATCTGTCCTACAATAAACATGTATTTTCATGATTTTTAAATTAGAATACATGTTTGGCTCAAGGGCTGCACACTGCACCATCACCTCACAGCAAAAAGATTTGTGTCCTGGTTAGGATGCCTGGGATCTTTCTGCATGGTGTTTTCCTGTGCAGCGTGGGTTCTCACCGGGTTCTCTGGCTTTCACCCACAGTCCAAAAACATGCTGAGGTTAATTGGTGATTCTAAATTGTCCATAGATGTGAATGTAAGTGTGCTCGTTTGTCTCTCTGTGTAGTCCTGCAATAGACTGGCAACCTGTCCAGGCTGTCCCCTGCCTTCAGCCCACGATCCTAGTGAGGATTTAGCGGTGATGGATGGATGGATGGATGGATGGATGGATGGATGGATGGATGGATGGATGGACGGATGGATGGATGGATGGATGGATGGATGTTTGGCTCACACTCATTAGAGACTGTCTACTATGTGGGACACAGCCTCAGATAGTCTCCACAGAAAATCTTGGACAGAACTTTCTCAGAGGTGGGAATTAGCATATTTTTTTGAAGAGACAATTAATAAAGCATTGATCTATGGCTTTATGAGTGTATAATGGCCTATTGAGGCACCTCGCAGTCATTTCTCAAGACCTATTTTTTTGCATTGATGAAAAATAACTAAAATCCTAATCTTAATCAGGAATGTAGTAGATGGGACTGTTTGGAAAAACAGTCTTTGGGTTTTTTAATTCAGGCATTATTCAAAAGCTACGTCGTATTGTGCAGTAAGTAAAACAGGAAAAACAGCACATAGAAACAGAGAATCTAATATTGTCTATGTTGTTTCTTGACTTGACATGATAATGCAGCGATACCAAATATTAATCAGGCAATTTGTAAATTCATATCCATCTGCAGACAGAAAACTGAAATCTACAAATTACATACTGTCCAAAAAGGACGTTATAAATGTTCATTCCATTTTGTAGGAAATAAAACAATTCCTCACAGCTCAGTTAGCAGAACTAATAGCATCGTTAATGTTAGAACGACATTTGAGCTGGCTTTGTAAGTGCCATAAATCTGTGACACCAGAAAACAGGTCAGAGGCAGTTTTTGCAGCACAGATTTAGAAGTAGGCAACATCCAGTTCCTTTCTTACAGTCAAAGAGAATCACCCCACCTTTTTCTCTAAGATGTCAAAGAAAAAGTGAAACATGTTTTTTTTTCCTGAAAGGCAGGATTTGTCACCATTAGGAAGATACAGTGTTGACTGTTTGACTTGTCAGGTGTTCCACATGTGTGAATCTAGAATCCAGGCTGCTTCCTGAGTATTTGTACTCTGGACCCTCTGAAATACCTTTTCTGTGTTGACAGTGAAGTTGAACCAAAATAATCTGAAACTGTCATCTGTGGAGCCAGATGAGACCCAACCATCTTTAATTTCCTGTTTTGGCTCATTCATCAGAAAGAAGATGTCTCCTATAGGGCCATAGTGAGGATAGAAACACATTTCTCTCAGAGATTACAGCAGGTATAGCTTTTGCAAGACATTTAAAAGAAAAATATTTGTGCTTTTTGAAATTATATCAAATTATCTTTTTAAAATGCTAACCTATTGAGCGTATTAGTGATTGGTAATGTTAACTTATTAAAGTGTTTTGTTGGGGTTTTTTTGCTCACGTGACACATACTGGATGCAACATGCAGGGAGGACTCTATGGTGGCAGAATGGGTTGGTTTGGGAGAGCAAAGGTCAAAATTACAAAACTGGGTTCCAAATAGGCTTCCTAGTCAATGGTTATGGACAACTCATTCAGTCCGACGTCTCTTTTTTGTCATTCTAAAAATGCATGTTTTGTTTTGATTCCACATTAAATTTAATGTACGACATACAGTATATATATCTTTTTAGCTTTATCCCATTCACATCTGTTGGGACACTAGCAGTGTGTCAGATGGTATATATATATATATATATATATATGTATATATAATACATGACAGTGTATTCTGTTCAGGAAGAATTTACATATAGAAGGATCTATGGTCTAACAGTCTTTCTCAGGTATTTTAATTCAATAAACATAATCAGTAATGTCTCAATAAAGTGTGATGGCTTACTTTTCGGTCAGCTCCTTATAAAATGTGTTACAGTCTGACACAGCTCTACCACAGAACCATCATGTCTCATTTTAGCCATGATAGCAGAGGAGTGTGCAGCACAGTTTAGAGTGGCAGCTGCTACATAGCATGACCAGTCAGCAGATGCTGTGCAGTAGTGCTCTCTAAGCACAAGATGGTGCTACCATAAAACCACAAATAAGTGAGCAGTGGAAAAGAATGCAGTAGAGCTTCACTGGCAGACTGTTCTGATTCTGAGGTTCCAGAACTGGCCCACTTTTCACCGCTGTTTAAAAGTAAAAATGGATCATTACAAAAGTGTCTCTTTGATGCTTTCAAATTCAAATTCACATCAGGTTTATTTGGAAAGGAAGGATTGTTGCCAAAACATCTAGGAAGCTTTTTCTCGTTCTTTATATTTGCAAAAGCAAAATCTACCTTGGTCATCTTACTCAGACTTCTCTTGGTGTCTAGAAACTCCATTCAACTTTCCTCTACCTGTAAAACTTTGGGGAACAGCTGCTTAAATACATTACAGTTTCACTGATCAGTGCACTATGCTATTTGTGCATTTGGTAAAACAAGAACATGAATGTGCTGTAGTGCTGTAGCTCCTTAGCTGCTAGTTATTGCATACAGGTACAGTGAGTCAGCAGCTGTGTCCTAAATCACTCATTTTTCACTCATTCATCATTCACTATATAACATATACTCGATAGTCAGTCAAATAGAGATTTTGGACACTCACTAATCGTCATCATTTAGAGTAATCATTGTCATCTGTTGAGTCATGCAACGGCCCCTTTGGTATCTGTAAAATTAGTCACAATGCATTGTGGAAGTTATGGACACAAGTTTTCTTTGTTCTGTGTCTGCATCAATAAAACTGGGTTGGATGGGAGAGAACCCTGATCAGTCAGCTGATCCAAATCACAGTTTACAGACCAAACTCCTGGTCCTCCTCCACCTTACTTGCCATAGCTGCACTCACTCCTGACTTCTATTGGGGGGAAAGCAAGTGTGGTTGTCACCCTAGCTGACCTAGTTTTACTGATGCAGACATTTACCAAAATCACAACAATGCTTTCCTGAGTTTGACACTGAGTTTGTGCAGCTTTACAGCCAAAAGATAAACCAATTTTGCTAAATTCCCAGACCTCACTGATCACTTTGATGGACATAGGGAGCAAAAACCATACAACCTGAATGGTAATAAACTTTGCTAATTGTTGTTAGATGGATGAAAACATAGTTCCTAGTCAAAGTTAATATTACTCTGATTGTCTGATGACAATTGTTTGCCAGTACATGATCTACATCAACTTTATAGAGCCACAATGTTGAACTGTCTATCCATCCATTATCTATACACCGCTTAATCCTCACTAGGGTCGCAGGGGGCTGGAGTCTATCCCAGCTGACTTAGGGTGAAGGCAGGGGACACCCTGGACAGGTTACCAGTCTATCACAGGGCTACAGACAACCAAGCACACTCACTTTCAGCTGACCTCAACATGTTTTTGGACTTGTGGGAGGAGAGAACCCACACTGCAAACTCCACGCAGAAAGATCCCAGTTCCCCCACCGGGATGCGAACCGGTGACCTTCTTGCTGCGAGACAACAGTGCTACCAGCTGTGCCACCTTGCAGCCCAATGTTGAACTAAACAATAACAAAAAAACATGGCTGCAGCTTTAATCTAAGCTGTCATCAGCAAACATTAAGGGCTTCAGACTTTGGAACAGAATAAATTCATCTCAGATGCTGTAAGTTTGGCTTTAATTTCTTCTTTTTTTTGTTCTGCTGAAAAACACACAAATGTTCTTTATGGGTTTTAATCCTTTTCTTGTCTTCTAAAATTATATAAATAATTATCTAGTTATCTAAATGAAAAATTTAAAACACTTGCTAAAGTTCATAAGACAAATGCACATAAGACTCTTAAATCAAAAGTGTCCTTGCTCTGCTCAGAGCATCCACCTGGTTGACACATCACACTGTGTCCATCCAGCCTTTAGTGCCTTCATTCAGCTAATGTTCTGTGTCAGTCCTATGTTTTTCTGGAGTTCATACCATTTGTTTCTAAAACTCTTCAAAGTAAGTTTGATTCCTGAAGTCTTTAAAGAGTCTATATTGTGCAAAAATGAGTTTTTAATTATTTTAAAGCATAAATGTGTTTCCTCAGCAAAAACCTCCCCTCAATTCTTTTCTCGCCTCCATTGATCAGAAAGAACAAGCCGTTCAGGTTTTCAGCCTGTTGTGATGTCTCAACTGCAGTATTTTGTGCTGAACTTTGAAATATACGTACCAGGGACCTGTCAAACTTACATTTACTTGTTAAAAGGGGTATAACTTGGGAACTCTAAAAGTCTGTTCAAGAGCTTCAACCAAATCCACAGTTATACCTAAATCATACACACTTCAACTAATAAAAACATGAAGATAGTTTTTAATCTATATATAAAAACATGGATTTTTATATTGTCTGCACACTTTTTATCGGCAATAACTAATATGGAATCTTTGAATTGCTACACAATCAGTAAACATTGTCAGTTTGGTCAGAACTTCTTGGTTGTGGTTGTGCTGTTAAAATGCATCTGTGAGGGGAAACAAGAAGAGAAATGGTTTTTGTCAAAAAAATCGTAATTATTGGGTTCGGGTTCTATGAGTATATGTTCGGATCTCTGCTGAGAAAAACTTCAAGGCTGAACAAATACTTGCAAACAGAAGAGTGTCCTTTAACTGGATGCACCAAGTGGACCCAGTCAGTCACCGAGCAGCAGCTGAATGAGGGCTTTGGCTCTCTCAGCAAACATCTTTATACATTTTTGATGGAAATAAATACCTTGCCTATGTCTTGATTCTTCAAAGAACACGAGCTCGATGTACTTTTCATGTACTTAATACTTTTGCCCTGGTCATGTATGGAGCCATGTCCCGGCCATTTTACGGTCATGCGGTCAAGTTTGTGTTGTTGGCCGCCCAATCAACACTGTCCTCTATTACAGACATGAGTTCTGACAATTGTGTGGGTCTTAATTGCTTATGCACATACAATTCATGCCTTTGTGCAGTTTCTTGTCTTTGGAGTATCAAAACAGGCGAGTGATTAACACACATCAGCTTGACAAAAACATCATTCATGCATGTGCATCATCAAGACACCTGCATGTGAGTAACAATGAAAACCCCCAAACATGTCCAACATCACATGAGCAACTGATCTCCTACATAGCTAAATGATAAACTAATCAATTACACGAGTAGATGATTAAGCACAGAATTTCTCTCACACTCTTATCAGGCTTTATTGTTAGTTGTGTGGGTTCAGACTAAAGTCTGAGGTGGCAGCCTCAGGTCTGGGTTTCTAGTGGATCGTGGTGCTGGGGTGTGTTCAGGTCTGTGGATCGTGGTGCTGGGATGTGATCAGGTCTGGGTTTCTAGTAGATCATGGATCAACTATAACTTAAAGTTGATCATGGTGCTGGGATGTGATCAGGTCTGTGGATCATGGTGCTGGTGTGTGATGAGGTCTGGGTTTACAGTGGATCATGGTTTTGGTGTGTGATCAGGTCTATGGTTTGTAGTGGATCATGGTGCTGGGGTCAGAGACGCCAGCAAGGTGGGGTCAGGGGTATTGCAGCAACCCCTGAAAATCACAAGTCAAAGAAATGTAGCATACCTTTGACATCGTACTCAAAATGAAATAATTGACTGCCTGACTGAAATGGTCTACACCTCAGTTATCAGTGAAGTTGCACAAAATAAGCCTTTCAGCATTTGGTTGATGAGACCAAAGACATTAGCAAAAAGAACTTATGTCCTTTGTAATATGATATTTCTATCATGGGTCAATATGTGGAAGTTTCCTAAGCTTTGAAGCAGCAGAGCATTTGGATGCTGCACCACTTTCACAGAAAATTGTTGCTGCAGAAGTATGGTCTTGATTACAGAAACCCCCTTGTAGGGCAAGGATATGAAGGAGCCTCTGTGATGAGCGGGAAGAACATAAGTGTGCAAGCACGCATTAAATCAGAGGCCCCAGTAGCGTTCTATGTTCACTGTAATGCACACTGCTTAAATTTGGTATCAGCTGACTGTGTGAAAAGCATCCCTGAAGCAGACTGTTTCTGTTCACTTTTGCAGAAACTTCATGTGTTTGTGTCAGGCTCCTATGTGCAGCACAAGTGGCTAGAGGTACAAAGGGAGATGTTTCAGGGACCCCCAAGAGAGTTATAGAGGCTGATAGAGACATGATGGGCATGTAGGTACAATGCTTGTAAGACAGTGAGGAACAGATGACCAGTTATCATACGTCTCTGGAAGGAAATATCAGAAGAGAAAAATGGAGACAGAGCTGTGGAGGCAAGACGCCAATAAACCAAAATAAATCTAAAATTTGTTGGCCTCCTTGTAACAATCAGTGGTGTTTTTGGTGAGATGAAACATCGATCAGACATTTTACAGTAACCACAACTCAATCTGGGCATCACTGTGACCATTGTTGATTCTCTTGTTGACACATTGAACACTCTGTCTTCAGTCAGATTTGGGACAGTATGGTGAACCTTGCAGAGCAGTGGTGTTGCACCTCCAGATTGTCCAGAGCGTCACATCACACCAGGCTCTAGACTTGAAGGGTGCTGCTCATCTCCAACACTTCAACAACAGGTCAGCACAGATAAGGAGTCACTTTAGGAAGGTTCATTCATTCCACTTGTTAGTGTGCTGCTGTCTGAGTTGAAGAGAAGATTTTCGAAAGAAAACTGTGTCATCATGAGAGGGATGCAGTCCTTGAATCCTCGTAGTCAAATATTTTGTGAGAAACATGTAGTGTCTCCATTTGCTTCACAATACACTTGCAGCACTGAGGATCTACAATATGAGATCCGACAGCTGAAGAGAGTTCTTGAAAGAAGGAAAACAAGTGGGTTGGAAACACCAATAAGTTTATAAGAACTCACAGTCTTTCTAGAGCCATGTAGGAAAGTATTCCATTAGATGTTGAAACTTTGCAAAACTGCACTTGCATTACCTGTGAGCACAGCAACATGTGAGTGTAGTTTTTCTGTACTCAACATAATCGAGACTGTCTTGAGATGCACTATGAGTGATGAGGGACTGAGCAGTTTGGAGGTGTTAAGTGTTGAGTCCAGAAGAGCTAGGGCCATAAATCTTGATGATTTTGTGGATATGTTTGCCAAAATACATGGCAACAGGAGAATAAAGCTCGATCGAAAGAATGCAGCCCAATTAATCAGAGGCATCAAAAGGTTGTTAGAAGCTGCATTGAAGCTGCAGTGAAACATTCATTGTCCATGACGATGCTGTGTTTTGTTTTTAATTTTTTGTACAAAGTCTGTTTTTATGTTTACAGATGAATAAAGTTGGATTGAAAATAGTGCTTTTAAATTTGAGTAGATTGTTCCCAATAACTGTTTTGTTCATTAAATGAATGTACTCCCTTATATACAAATATATATATATATATATGAAACATGTTAAGTGTACTTTATTAGTCCATGTACATCAGAGTAACATTAACTGTAAAATCAGAAACCAAAGTGTATGAATATGTGCTTCCTTACTTTTCATACTGAATTGTTTTTAAGTAGCCTCAAAACTTAGAACAGCTTGTCTTCTTGAAATTCAGTTATTGTTTCTGGTTTTGGTGTGCCACCCTAGGATTTTCAGTGGCCCTATCTGCCCCCCCGGCCCTGGGATGTGATCAGGTCTGGGTTTCTAGTGGATCA